CGAGTAAATCCACAAAAAGAACATTCGAACTGAAGGCTTTTTTGTACATGAAAATCAAATGAAAAACATCTAGTTATCCAATGGTATTCTATTCGATATCACCGTTCCATTCTTACATTGTCATAGGTCCGGTTCGCTTCCACCGACAATAGTTATATTCACATGTAATTAGGTTTGCTATATGCATTGTTCATTTACTTCCTGTTGAATCATCTCTCTTGATCGCCTAAAAGCCCCTCTTAAAAATGTCTTCAACGGGAATCCAACCATCTCTGATTCCATCTAGTTATATTATTTTATGACAAATATCATTACTTAGTTACTGTGAAATTCGTGATTCGGGAAAATGATGAGTTGCCTAATATAAATATAGATGTAAATTTAAATGTTCTCTAATGTAAAATAATTCTTTCCTGCTCACTTTGTTTGTTTCGAGGACACAAATAACGACAATTTGTCAAGTCAAATAAGGCGATATTCAGGCATCATGAAGTCATGACATATTTCCGCGAGAATTAACTTGGTGAACCAACCACTAAATTTGTTGTTTCATGATGCTTTTCAAAGTAAGCAGTTGTTCTGGCTAATGTACAAACTGGTGCAAATGTTTTTTTTGCTCTTTTTTATTTAACTTATATATACGTGACATTGTCTCGTGTACGAAGGTTTGCTGTATGCAGATGTTTGAAACTAACTGAATTATTCATTTCGTTTATTCAACAATAATCTGGATTCAAATGAGTTATATTTAATTTTTGAACATTGATATGCAAATTTGTATCTAATACCAACGTTTTTTATTTGCTGTATCATGGAAGTGCCTGCCTGTAAGCTTCGTTGTAGTGTAAAATTTTAGGTTCAATCAGTATTAAGTGGTGATATGTTATTATTTTCTTAATAAATCGTTATTATTTTGACACAATTTTTTGAACGTAGCGAAATATTATATTTATTATTTTTGAACCGCATGTCGCATCTTCAATAGCAATGCAAAAAACTACGATGCTTCTGTAGTTCTACATTTTGCAAAAATATTTCATTGCGTAATATGAAATAAAATTCGGATTTTGGAGATTTATTGGAAACCCTTCACTATTATTTTAGAGCGGGACATACCATTTGGAATTGAAATTCAGCGTTCATATTCTTTTTCACTCACTTACAGTATAATAAAAGACGTTTGTTTTGAATCTCTAGTGATTTCCAATAAATCAAACAGAATCTTCGCGACACTTTATTCAAAACTTTGGATTGTAATAAAATATTTAGACGGCTAAATAAAGCGGAAAATTAAACGTGTTACATTGCCATTCAAAATGTTCAGGTCATCGATGTGACCGGTTATTATTAATGGAAGTTAGTAGGGTTTTGTAACAATGCGTGATAGACTTGATTGGACATTCGTGTACCTTACTTTCCATGAACGATGTATGACAGAAACTGGCTATCAAATTTAAAAATTTAGTTCCATTCGAGCTTATTTTCTTTTCTTCGTTTTATTTTTGCTTATTGTGTGAATTTTCGTATCAAAGATACAAAACGTTTGTTATTATCGTTCGTTCAACGTCTTCCAGTATTGTATTCATACGAATTACACTTCTTATTCGCGTTGTATTTTGAATGTATGAATTTCATATTTTATTTACCCCGTATCTATATTTGATTTTAAAGTATTCTTTTAAATAAATACATTGTGACAATGTGGAGCAGCACATTTAGGCATCAAAATAAACTCTCTCACCCCAGTGAATAATTTTCAATTTTATCTATGTTCCATGTTCCGTTTGACAATTCCAATCTCTAGGCAGAATCAAAATCATCTAAATTGTTATCTCTGAAATTAATCATTTAGTGAATCATTATCATGTTTTGTAAATATATTATTACATGTTGATATTGATAAGTCACCAATGCCACAATCATTATTATTAGATCTGATCATGCACTTTTCATATGTGAGTCATCACTACTACATTTGGTTTGAATAAACGTGGGTTGGCTCGTAAGCTAAATCACGTAATGCTGATTATCGTCGTTGATACACGTCGAGGTTAGACTTTGTCTGGAAAAAAATCTCCCATCAAATATGGTTTAGTAAATTCATAGTAATTCATCACTTTATTAGAAATACTACATACGTCTTTCAATCTGTCTTAGTACAAGAGATGCCATTCGGAACCACGATCTTTCAGGTGGATCGCCTATTCAAAAAATTGGCTCATCTCATTGGATCATAACTTTGGGCAGAGTGCTTCATTTGACAATATATCATGGCAAACTTGTTTTTTTTTCATATATTTTCACCGTTTTAGATCATTGTGAATGTATTACCTAGTCTTAATGTTATGAAATGTTACGTAAATTAGCTTAATGTTATGAAAATGTATGATCGATAATAAGAAATGATAATGGTCTGTATTTTTCAGTATTTTATTTTGCCGTTTCCATAATATAACATAAACAAGAAGAGGATTTCGGATAGATAATTTGAGACTTGACATGCGACGTTTCCTGTTTATTCAATTTGCAGCCAAGTTGCGTTTTTCAAGACGACAAGTTTATGTTTATTGGCCGTCAACAAGAGATGATGAATCAACGAATTTTGGCAAAATAGACCTCAAAAAATAGATAATACGCAAATTCTGAGTTGAATGTGTATGCTAACGTAAGATTGGTTTAATGATTATCTGTTAAATAAATAATGACTCAATCTCTACATAGAATTGAAAATAAGTTTCACGTTCGAAACCAATAGTTTCAAAGCACATTGACTCTGGACTTTATCACGCATCTGGCATTTTGACAATGTAACTCGCCATGTTATCATGTTTGAATTTGTTTAATTTGACGCAAAAGTTGCGAGAAGTTTGTTACTTTTATTTTTCACTTCATTGCATACAGCAAACCTTATCATACGTCGCAATATAACATCTGAAGTAATGTATTTTCCAAATGACTTCAGTTCCTTTCCCTACTCGGGTGGATCAAAGATTTCTAAATATGAGATTTCGTGCTCCGTGTTATTTTTAATTTATGCCGTAATTCAGAAGTGTTCAACCTTTGTTACAGGAAGGCCAGATACAAGTAACTGGGTGGAGCCGCGGGCCGCACCTAGAAACTCTACCTACGAAAGGCTCTGGATACGAAAAATCCAAATTACGAAAATTCATGTCGTAAAAATATTGCTTCGTAAGATTTTCTACATATGCGAAAGGCCGAAAACCGAAAACTTAAAAAACGGGTGTAGTGATATTTGTTTATTTTAGGTTAATTTAATGCAGTACTTGAATAAGGGGTGTCCAATTTGAATATAATAATAGCATATCGTCTTTCGTGTTTATAAGAATACCGAATATGGCGCACATATCCTAGCGCCGCCGTTTATCCAAATTGTTTTTTAAATTGTAGGACATGTAACGTAAATTATCCAAATGTTCTGAAAAATGCGGGATCGATAAGGAATGATAATAGACTGCATTTTATTTTTGTTGAGTAGTTATTGCATTTCTATAACATAACATCTTAAGTTTTACACAAAATCTGTAGCTACTAGAAAAGGCTTTCAGATAGGTCATTTGGGACTTGACATGCGATGTTTCCTGTTTATTCAATTTCCAACCAAGTTGCGTTTTTGAAGATGACAAGTTTATGTTTATTGGCCGCCAACAAGAGATGATGAATCAACAATTTTGGGCTAAATAGACCGCAAAGAGTAAATATTACGCAAATTCTGAGTTGAATGTGTATGCGAAATTAAGATTGATTTAATGATTAGCTGTTTATATAGATAATGACTCAGTCTCTATATAAAATTAAAAATAAGTTTCACGTTCGAAACCAATAGTTTCAAAGAAGCACATTGACTCTGGACTTTATCACGTTTCTGGCATTTTGACAATGTAACCTATTGTGATGTTACCAGGTTTGAGATAGGTTAATATGGCGCAAAAGTTGGGAAAAGTTATCACTTTTATCTTTAACTTCATGACGTACAGCGAGCCTAATTGAACTTCGCGATGTAGAATTTTTCAAATCTAAATTTCTTTTCGAAAACTAGAAATTTTGAACGCAATTCCTTTGCTCACTTGGATGGATCAAAGATTTATGGGTATGAGATTTCCTTATCCTGTTGTTTTCGATTTATTCCGCAGTTATATTGTCAGGATTTCACAAATTTGGAATAATAATAATTTACGGTATTGATATTTAAAACAATACCGCATTGATATATGTCCATATCCTGTATTTAATCATTCATACAGGAAATGAAGATATGTCTGGAAGTTTCAGATGTCTACTTTCCGATATTGTATTGCGCTGAATCCTTTATCCAAACCAGTTGATGGGGGATTGTACACCAGGCTAACGCTTATCATTGCCCAATTCATGTGAGAAGGACAAAGTGAAAAAAAGAACTCTCGCCGTTCAACGACGTTCGATTTCAACCATTGTTCGATTACGGTCTCCCCCACTATCAATGTCTATGCACCAGAAGCAATAAACTGGTGATCTATTTTAATAGTCGAAATGCATTATTTCGTATGACTTATCCAAGTTGTTAAAAATATACACCCTATTTACTGTCGGCAATATTTAGCTTGAAAACATCAGAAAATCAATTCTGTTAACAACATTAGACACCTATTTTACAGTAGCTAACTCTGTATATTACGATATCTCCTTTGGTTCATCGAAAAATATCTCACCGACTCACGATGCAAAAATCAGGGCGCACAGTACATAGTTAGACTCTAACCATATAGGCAGAACAGCGTTTATAACTAGGTATATATAGAGAACATGGGAACATAGAGAGATCAAAATGTTCAACCGGACCAACGAATCAAATTGACGATGTTCATTTGCGATATTCTTCATCCCTGTGAAGCTGTGCTATCTTTAGTTTCTGACTTGTGCAGAACTGGCTAATTTGTGTCGAACTTCTGATATGCAAAACTCAGTAGGACACAAATGTGTAGCAGATAATCCCATCAGTAAAGTTTAGTTAAGATTTTGAAAACCGTTAATCAAACGGTCTTCATTTTATTCGAAAATCACCAAGTTTAAAATGCGAATTGTAGTTATTTACTACATTCGGAGGGTTAATTGACAATAAGAAAAAAGATATTACCAAATAAAAATACAAAACTACAGAACACAGAAAGGGTATTGCAAAAAAGCCGAATTTTTCGAAAAATTAAAGTAAATTTAATTTCCACTAATGGAAAGACACCTATTAACCCTGTCGTTGACCAAGCACCTTTTTAATAGTTCTCTGTTTGTTTTATTTTTTACAGTTCGACAATACTTTATTCCAATTTATTTACTATATCAGGTAGTCTATCTTAATTTTTTATTGCCCCTCTTTCATAGGTTATATTCAGTAGCAGCAAAGGTGAAACACTTAGTCCGAAAAAGTAAAAAAAACAAATTGTCCCAATTAATTCATGTTGTAACATAAGTTTATATAACAATGTGTGACTCCCAATATTTATCATCTAAAGTCTAAACAAAGTATTCTCTCAAGTTTGAAGTATGGGCTAGTTTTGAGCAATTTGCCCATTTTATTTCAAACATACTGTGATTTGTACTTTATATGTTCAAATTCACATCGGCCATTAATTATATGCCTAAGTACGCTGTGTGAAGGTCCCCGAATCTTCATTTTGTCGCCCTTTTGCGACATCAAGCGACGAAATTTCTAGAGTCAGTAACATCCTCCATCTCCTTATACAAATGGTCGATTTCATCTTGGTTTGCATTTTCTAAGTCTTTGCGGGACTCGTTTTCCGCTTTCTTCTTCACATATTTTGATGCAGGAATTTCAAACCACAAAAGAGATGATGCTGTTATAAAACATATTGATGCAACGACAAAGCTCCAGTGATAACTTCCAGTCGAATCATATAAGGCACCTAAAATATTAAATTTATATATTATTTTAAGGGTAACGTAGCTTCATATCAGCTCTCGATATACAATATCATGATTCATTTTAACGTTTCATTTTCTTTAAAGTTTTAAAATTTATGATTTTAAGAGAAATTTAGTTTTTTTTTAAACATAACTCACTTACTTTTACTTAGTCAAATACAGAAATTCGCTCAAATTGAAGGCTACGAGGTTTATGGCACCAAAAACAAATTGAAAATTAACAAGCATAACTCAATTCTTCAAGCTTCCTTTCTTTCTCATTGTATGGACTCAAATACCATTGTTCTGTATACCCTTTGCCATAATATTTGTAGTATGGAAGAGTCATTATTGATTTATGCTACAAATATGTACTCGACATACCACATGCTTCATAATTATAATACAAATTATATATTACCTCCAATAGGCGGTCCTAACATTTGACCCAAGCAGCCACTGAAAAACAAACAAAATCCGTAAGCACTTCGGAGATTTGCTACTCCAAGAGTGTCCACTGTAACAGGCAATATATTTCCTTGCCAACTTCCTGATCCTAATCCAAACAGGATGCAGTATATCGTCATTCCCAAATAACTCTTGACGAACAAACTTATGATTGTAGCAGCAGCCATTATAGCAATGTACACTTTATGTAAATTGATCTTTCGAAAGTTTATTCTGTCCGCCATGAAACCTGATGATAACTGCGCAGTTACTTCAGTTATTCCTATGTACGAAATGAGAAAGACGGATTCGTATTCTCCGATTCCCATTTTCTTAGCTCGAGCCACGGTATGCACCAATGTCATAGAGTAGCCAAACTGTGTTAATACTAAATTAGCAGTTAATATGAGCCACAGTGGATCTTTTAATAGTCCGAATGTTAATGTCTTCTTATTTGCTGGCTGATAAACTGGCTCTATATGAGGGAAATGTTCTACAATCAACGATTCCGTGACTCCGCTACTTTGGACCTTTTGTTCAATTTCCTTCTGCAATGCCCGAACTCGATCCTTTTCAGACAGTTTCCGTCTATACCAATTTTCATTTTGATTCTTGTCGTTGCCATTGCTTTCTGGGAGCATTGAACTTTTTCGGACGCTGTGTCTCCTCATCGTACTTCCAGAATCAAATTTCAGTTCCTCTTTTAAACGGAGTGGACGCAACAATAATGCGCACACAAATAAATGTAGTTCAATTCCACCTATAATTAGCAGGCATCCCTGAAAATGATTTAAAATAAAATCGCAATCTGTCTTAACGGAATTATTTGAAGAACATAATGAAGCAGATATAATACCTATACAGTGCTCCGGAAGTACAAATTTTGAACGAACAAGCACGTTGAATCCCATTTTTACCATTCAGAAATACGGTTATATATATAAACGATATTTTACAAGGAAATATGACATTTCGAGTTTAGTAAAGTAATTGGTGCTCTGCCTTTTTACATCCTAGGAACAAAATCCCTGGTTTATCAATTCAGCGGTGGAAACCTTGTTCAGTATGTCGTGGATTATATGGCTTCTCTAAACGAAGAGTTATCGCAATATTCTCCACAGTAATAATTGTGTGGTTGAGGCTACGTCCCTTAATACAATTGCTTTGAGTTTAATATCTCACCTGCCAACCGTACTGCACAACAAGGTATTGTATAAGTGGTGCTAGAAAAAATGTTGCTCCTCCACCAGATCGAGATAAACCATTAGCGAGAGATCGTCGGACTTTGAAATATCTCCCAATCATCGTCAATGCCGGAAGGGATGCCAGAGCAAATCCAAAACCTTAAAATCGAATAGAAATATCTTTGACTTTGACATATTTTTCCTGCCTTGCTAATGCCGCTGGGATTCGCGTGAAAGTGGAAAGGATGGAATATTGCAATTCAAATCAAATTGCACATATATATGAGGTTATTTCAAAGCTCAGTGGCAAAGTGACTTCAATATTTTTATCATCAACACCGTCCTTCGTCTTGATATTGAGGTTTAGTGAAGGCCGTAATTGCCTTTGTTACATCTGGTTTGCATTCATATGCATCCCAGTGGGGGGCTGCGCCCATGAAATGCGAGTCTATATGTAATATTGCGCAAGAGTGCTTCGATATCTACGCTTGTCTAAATGCATTGAACACCCGTATCCAGGAAAGCTACTGATGTTGAGGTGTGGAATAATTTAGTTGAGACATTTGTAAGTGATCCGTGTCAGAATTGGGGCCATGATTTAACGCGAACGCATGTTATATACACACACGATCTTATTCACGGAGAGTACATTATTATGTCCCATTAGGTTATAATACCTTTTTTTGCATTTCGCTACCGTCAACCATTTATTTCATACAGAATAAACCTTTATCAGCTGATTGAGAAAATGTCGTTTTATATGCACGCGAAGTGGCCCATTTACAACATTCTCGAGTTATATTTATGTTTAAATAAATGACAAGCACAAATTACTTTTTGTTTTCCTTTATAAGTCACACACCTGTTACACATCCCAATGACGCGTATAAAAAGTACGGTGATTGAGCAAACTGACTGATGATCAATCCAATAACAACAAATACTGCTCCTACGGCCACAACTCTTCTTTCCTCGAATCGATTACTCAATGCAGCGGACAGTGGAGCTGAAGATATGAAATTAATATCATGTGTTGCCCACCAACAATAAATTAACATGTTCGAGGCACTAGTGCTTAAGTGTTTATTAGGTACACTCGAATAGTTCTACACACTAATAACCTGGAATAAAAAGTATAGAAAATATTTTTGTATATTACCTAAGTACATTGGTATCTCGAAGAGTGGAGTTTTGTTTGCACCGTTGCGACTATTCTGAGAGGAACTTTTTTACGAGTACATATCATTGGGGGGAGCTGACTCCGATGACCTTATGGTCGTATCGCTCCCCCCAGTCTATACCGAATTAACTTTGTGTATATTGTATATATATATTATTTTATATACCATTGTTCGTTTACGGTTGACAAAACAATAAATCTCTCTCTCTATCATGGGGAATTTGTCTATTCAGCCGATAGGCCATGTCGGCAATGTTATAACGTTTAGATAGTCACACCTTAGAGCCCTGAATTGCGGAAACCTTTTCGAGCAATTTTGTTTTTGCGACATATACATGAACTCGTATATTTTGTCCGAACTCGTTGTTTTTATGCTATTTTTATGATGTTGTTGACTTCGATGCAAATATTTTTTTACTTACTAATAACCATAACACTTGCCTTTGGGCATATAGCTTTACTGTGCCGCATCTGCAAACTGCACAAACTCCGCGTCGTTTGCGGGATACGCATTGCTCGTTTCAGTTTCAACAAATAGGAGATGGCATAATGTATGTAATGTGATAGTGGTACTCATACCAAATGAATTTATTATTTCGAATGTCCAAACTAAAGAGATACGCTTTACAATGTCTTGATCAGAAAGATTACATTGTCAATATTATACAAGTTAAATAAGGTTACGTAATATTGGAGTCGATATTAGTTTTGTTCTCGTATGTACCTAGATATTGTTCAACTGTTCTTATCTTTGTTGAGATACATGCAATATAGATATACACCATTTACATTGTCATTATCGGTTACCGCTCTCATGTCAAAAGTACCGCTGGGAAAATTGTTAACTTCAAATGCAGTTTGTTATCTCACTGCTCCCTAGAGGGTGATTAATTCCAATTTTATAAGCTATTTGAAAACGAAGGTAAATAAGCTCTCTGCCTTGTGAAATACATTAATGTAACTTGACAGATTTACAGCTATGTCGGTATGCAAATTTTATGACGTCATTCCTGTGGTCTAGGTCTCAATGCGTTTTGTGGGATTGGGCGCTACGTTAGTGTTTTTCTTTCAACTGCAAGATATATTGCAAATGTGCCCAACTGCCCAGTACCGGTAACTTAGATATCTGAGTATGGTGGTGCATTAACAGACCAGATATAACCATGTATATTCAAACCATAGACATAATGGCGATCACATAAGCACATTCCTACGAAGCCTGTACAGTTTGAAATTTTGCTTGGTTGTGCCCTATTAATACATCAGAGTAGATTTAAAGAGAAAATTTGAACTACCTGCGGTCGCTCTCATTGACAAAGAAATTGAATTGATCCAACTGACTGTTGCACTGTCGTATTCGCTGAATTCTGCTTTGAATTCTGGATACAACACTCCCATCGATTTGAGCATACCTAGTACAAGTACGTTGTCAATCCAAACCGCAAGTACGATTACCCAACCCCATCCTCCATCAGGTGGCTCCACGTATCTGAAACAACAAATTCGATAGTAACAACAAAATTATTTTAGTAGGTTTTATGGCGATCAAAGCCTCGGAAATGCCTTTGATTAACTCTGACAAAGATTAGATAATTAGAATAACTATTTTTATCGTAAAGTTCTTACTTCTTCCTGTCTACGACAACAACCTTCGAGTTCAGTCTTGATCTAAATTTCGGGCCATTTCCGTTTGCATGAATGTCGCCATGTCCATTGGTACTTCCTGCAAACGTTATGCGCTTTTCCATAGCTTTGTCTTCGATAGCCATTCTTTTTTTTGGTATACTTCGAGTTACTGTTTGTAGTTAATGCCTTGCTAGATAAGCGTATTTTATTTTGCATGCTCGGTAATACTGGTAAAATTGAAAATATCCATGTTTAAGTTGGTTAATCAAAGTGGACGACGCCACTTGCCGTGTGATTCCATTTCCGATCACCACAAAAGATCCACATTGCAGTTTTCTGTATTTATTTGGTATGTATATGCACACGAAATAGCACTTTCATCGCTGGGTCATTATCATTTAAAAAAAGTAGGCGCCAGCCGCAGTCCGAAAGGGTTTTGTTTTAAGCGCGTCCTCACCTCCAATAGCTAGTGCTATTCTACGACTTTGAGATATGACTAACTTAATTATTATTAAAGAAACTAAAATTCCTCAATTTGTTAAAATGAATCTCCCTCTAACATCTGCTTCAAGTGCCTTTGTGTGATATTTCTCTCACTGCGGATTATCCAATATTTCTGAAGTGGTATACGGCCTCTTTAAATTTCGTCTCAAAATATCTAAGCTTGGATGCAATAACAACACATATCAGTAAAAATCATGATGATTCGAGTATATCATAATATTTATAGAATATGGCGCCGACGCCTAACCAGTACAATTTGGCGTGATGTTGCACAGTAAAAGGCAGTTTTATATTGTACACTTTCGATCGATTGAGATAGTGTACAGCAATTAAAATGGGTCGGCGTAATTCATCATTCTTGCTGATATAAATTCCGACAGCTTTAAGAGTAAATCATTCATCGCCCGTTTCCATTCGAATCTACTTGTTTTTGCGTTTTGTTCGCAAACACACATCGCGTGGGCCGGGCGGCTTGTTACCGTCAACGAAAATCTATTATATCTTTTTATTCAAGATTTCAAATGATACAACAAAGCAGCTGACTTTGCGTTTCTGCTATTTTCGTGTTTTGTTTAGCTTCAAATATTTGGATTGATCGTCGTTAATGTTTATTCAATGATAATGCAGCTTGCGACTTTAAAAACATAATTGTGTAACACTGTCGAGCACTCATGCTGCTATTTACGAAATACAGATTGATATTTACCACATTTTATAAATTGAAAATGCCCGTAAACAAACCGCCGCCCGACTTAAAATACAAAAGAAACACATATCACTTGGACACATTTCAAATTGTATTAAAATTTGCCTGGGAAGACACGAGATGATGGAATGTAACCTGTGATCGCCTTTTCGCCTAACACTTCATCCCCTGCTGGGCCTACTCATTTCAAGAGCTTATCTTGATGACATAACCTGGACATATGTAAATTTGCAAACATATTTGTTGTTGGTTTGAGCGCGTGTGCGGTTAGTGGTATACTTTTTTAAGAACATTCTTTCACTAATATGTGGATGCACAGATTTGTATTATACGAAAATTGAATCGCTTTATTCGAATAAAAATTCGTATTGCAATAAATTATACTAACGGAACATGGAAAATTAGGTATTGACTATTATGTATGAATTTATTCTAAATACATACATATATATTCGAAAATACATAATCGTCGGTTTCGAGCCGCTGATGTTGTAAACATGTAACATTTAAGACGATATCAACAAGAATCGTCTGCATCATCTGTAGGTTCGAGTAAACAAGATTTACGCAATTCGAAACCACGAGTAGTTAATGATCCAAGATATGAGGTTATATTATATAACGCCTTTATTTACGATTATTAGCAAGGTTGTAAAACACTATTTACCATTGGCTCGTTTGACGTATTCGGACTTCGCACTTTCAACAGACTGGAAATATACAAACTCTGGAATACTTCATTTATCTACATCTAAAACTAGATTGCAATAAAAATCAAATTTGTTTTTAACATTTAATCAAGAATGTGCACTCAAAACTCAGAACAATGGCCCGTCCAAATTGCAAATTTACGATTAAATAACCTGAACTTTGTAAGAGGTTCAACGAACTCAGTTTTAATGCGAATAGGGTACATCATTATCATAAATGTCTTACCACCAACTAACTGTATGGTCTACGGCTCTGCTTGATTTTCAATGGTCCTGAACTTCGTACTACCGTTTACTTGAAACCGAATGGTTATTTGGCGATCACGTCAGTGCGCAGCGACTTGTACACTTCCCTCGCCAAATAGATAAAACATATGAGACTAATGACCATTCAGACCGTTTCATATCCATCTCATGAACAGAAGAGTAAAAATCAGTCGTTAAATGACTTCTCTATATTCTCTCGTTAAGTTCTAATTGCTGAATCAGGGCGTTTACTCGCCACATTTCAATTCATTTGGTGTCAGCTTGTTAAACATTATGACTCGCAAATGCAAACGAAGCTTATAACGACAATTTCACAATTCTATTCCAAAAGATTTTTGACCAGAGAAACTGTTGACGCGGAAAGATAAACTTCAGCAACTAATAAAACTTTACCATGTCCTCACATTCAACAGCATGTATAATATATATTTCACAGTACTCTTTTTTGGCACATATTGGGACGTACACGCTTTTACATAAGTCTTTATCTTTTTCATTTAATCCATCATATAACCGCCAAAGCGAATATTACTGTATTAGGTATTTCGTTTATTGAAATTTATTGAAAAGCACTATCTTATCGATTTCCGGCTAAAATTTTCATTAATTTTTCGATTTCATTTTCTTTTCCGCCTAAGCTTATGCAATGCCTAAGTGTTTAATATGTAAACATCGTTCGGGCTCAGATATCCCAATAAGCCGAATCAACATTTTAATGTAAAATAAGGTTGTTTTGGGATATTTCTCTATTTTGTATATACATATTAGATATTCGCCCATATCATCAACCATAAATGTAAAAGCTTGAGAATTACGCGAGAGTAATAATCAAATGAAATTTAAAGCAATAATGTGACTCGTGGTGCGTAAAAGAATGAGAACTGAATAAATTTAATATCGGTGTTTGTCATGCCATATTCGTTGTTTGTGTTTCGCAATATGTACCGTGTTTGTTTCATACTGGAATTCTATAGAAACATATCGGCGAATCCAGATGCAATACAAACTACGACCAAAGTAAACTTTTCATTGAACAGTTAAAATGAATTCATACCAACGTAGGTGATTATTTTACAACCAGCTGTTCAACAATTTTGCGATGTCTTTCGCAATTTATGATGACGAAATTCACCGATGAATCAGTTGCGTTATGTTTAGCTATCATTATTTGGCCAAAACCGCAAGAAAATACCATGCAAGCTTGCACATTGATTTACAAAGGAAAGCATATCACATTCATTTTAGTTCAACGCTTGCGAAATTATTCATGATTTCCAAGCTGCGAAAATACTTTTTAAAAGGGAAAATTATACCTAATAAATGAGTTACATACATATTCTGAGGCGCTAAAATGAGAAAAAGGTCATTGTTAACTCCTGCGAGGCACACGGATTTGGTGACTGTGGCAGAGATCACAGTTTATTCATAATCTCGTCATAGCATTTGAATATCACTTTTTAATCTGGACTGCAAATGGTATGCCCTCAAAGTAAATTACTCACCTATATTTTTATAGTTGTCGGAAATTGATGTCGAAGCTTTGGCGAAAATATTATTTTTTCCATTAACTACTACGTCTCGAAATAATTTTTTTCCTGATTTAAATCTTCTGCACTACATTTGTATCCATCTTTACTATTCATAATGACTGAAACCTTGCTGTCTAAAACTCTAAATGTACTAAATTTGAATGCGAATCCGATTGTTTCGTTGTTTTTAATATGGGTCTTCATCGCGCAAAAAACTTATGGGGTCCTAGCATCTCGCAAACTAATATAATATTAACCAAGTTTGCGCCGTTGATAAAGTGCTGTATTTAATTTCCATTTATTGACGGTACATGCATGACAGTATCCTATACTCTCGAAAATCTAACCTTTGTTTTTGGTCGTCATCGATCGACTGACTCATGAATCGTCCGCTGAAATCAGCTGATCTTCATCGAGCTGCGCTCTGTTGCACATCGCATCTATTGTTTACAATCGATTGCCGGGTCGCCGCTTCATGCGAGTTTACGAGGTGAGTTTTATGCGGTTGTTGACGGCATTACTTACATTTTGAATCTTTGAAAATAATTACACCGTTTGTGATATTTCTTTCTTTATTTCATTATCCTTTCTTCATGAAACCATTTTATCTGCGTTATATTTGTATGCAGGGTAACGATTTTTTGCCTAATTCAGGTTACTGTAGGATTTGTCATCATTTCTTGGAATGGCCAACCAATGTTATACAGTGAACTGCTTTCGTCCTGTTACTAGGTTGGGTCAGACAGAGAGTTGCTACTAAGTTAATTCTAAGTGCATTCATGTTTATGTGGATGGCAGAAAAAGCCGTCGCCGATCAACACTCATTGATGTTTATTGTTTATCCGACCCTTGACCCCAGAAAGATTCTTCCTATACTTAGTATTTGAAGAAGCCTATTTCGAAAGTGTTTTTGAAAGTTGGCGAACTGGTCTACGTCACCATATTGATAGATGACTTAGTATATCTAGTACAGTGATCCTCAAACTTGTATGATCCATGCCCTCCTTCAAAGACTCCCTGCTCTTCAATAAAAATTACCTAGTTTTGCATTTAACGAGTTCCCATCGGTTATTTGATAATAAAAAAGCCAATTTAATTAATTTACTTTAAATTAATGAATTTATCACTAATGGTTATCTAACGAAGGCTTTTCCTCGTTGATCCACCTTTGGGGGCGAGGACCTAGTTTGAAAAAAACTTGGTGTGGTCTATCGCAGCTTATCGGGACTAGTTTTTTTTTTTGATTCATTCAACTAAATTCTTTGTAAGACAAAATACCCAAGTTTCGGACACGCAACTAAAAACTGAGTAATAGCTAGCAAAACCACGAAAACGACCTAATGTTCACCATCGTGTCCAAAAATGCCTGCGCGGGCTGTTAAATTTTTTTATTGTAACGTCACCTTCGATGCTTTGGTGATTTGCTAATTTAATGGAGGTAAACAAGGATGTAGATGTCCTGAAAACATCTATTGCGCCAACTGTCGAGTAAAATCTTTTTCCTATACGGTTAAGGTGTTCAAATAAGTCATCTGTGAGACACTAGCTGCAAGAATGCCAGATGAGATATTTCAGCGAACATTACAATTCAGCAGTATCTTATCGATCGTACCACTAGAGGCAGTAATGAACAATATTTAAAATTACAATCGGTTGCAAACAGATTTTTAGAATTTGCCACTGGATCGGTTATGTTATATCAGTTAAATACTCATTAAATGATACTCTTGAGGTCGGCAAAAGACCTTTATGTTATCAGTCATTAGTATTTGAAAAAATGTCAAGTTAAAGGGCAGTCGATTTACATGTCGTAAAATGAATTGCGCATAATATCGCCTGCGTTCAAACAGCAATTTTTGAAAGGTGCTATAAATCACAAATTCACTAAATTCCTTGTTGTAATGAAATTTGACAGTTCTGCCTTCGTGGACAGATCCGAAAACCTATGTATTAATTTTTGCAATAAGCGCGTAACGTATTGAAACTGATTTTGCTTTTCAACAAATTTAGCTGGAAAAGATTTGTAGTACACACATATAGGGCAGTGCTCACTGCTCAATAACAGCAGATTACCGATAGACACTTAGCACGTGGAATAGTGATTTATCGTGGACTTTTTCAACTTTTGGTGCCGGATAACAACAAAGTAGCGTTTTTATGGATTTCTAATTATGATTTGAAGTATTGCTAATAGTATTAATAGCATTTTGAGTCACAAATTTCGTGTTACAAAAACATACACTATAACAACTCCCGTATCCTCATCAAAATTGCGTTTACTGTATACTACGCAGATGAGAGACAAAATGGGATAGCATAGGACAGGGTGGTCAAAACTCAGGCCACGCGGTCCACATGTGGCCCGCCGCTTCATTATCTGTGGCCCGCGTCGCATTTTCTGGAGGGTAAACAGAAAATATGGATATGGGAGGGAAAATACCACAACGCTTGCTTGATATATCTGCAAGTTGTGTCGGTGACAATCTAAAACGGCATTTTCTCCTTATGACACTTTCTCTTTTACGAAGAGTTTGAAATCCTACACTAAATTTGAACGTTTCAGTGAGTTTTTTCGGTGGTTTTTGCAAGTTTTAGCTTGATAAATGACAAATAATGATTAATGTGTTTGGACAATAAAGTGTTTGTTTTGTATTGGACTGTTTACGAATTATTAGCACTATTGTGGCTCGCGAACAATACAAAAATAAAAGTGTGGCCCGCGAGGCGGTCAACGTTGGACCACCCCGGCATAGGACATATGAAAATGTAATTAAATTCTTTCTGTAGGATTGAGTAAATATATATATATTGGAGGAAAGAATTCAGGGCAATAAGTATGGCTTGCTCATTGGAATCAGATACACGGAGTAATGAAGATAGACGCCAGACTAGCGACGTTGCCTAGTGAAAATCCTCTGTAACTCGAAGAAAACTCAAAAAATTAAAAATAAAAGGAATAACAGCCACTTTCGGTGTTTTATAACGATTGTTCGCTGACACTGCCAAATTTGAGAGTCGGCAAGGCGGATGAAGAGGTGACCATGCCAGAGAGGATTATTGAAGTCTTCGGCGTTGCAGAGCGAGTGAATAACGTAACCGCTTGCAGGTCATGATTCTACTCCCAGCCCATGTACCTTGAAGCTTAACAAATATCCATCCGGCGACAGCACGATTGCACCCGCGTATATTTGAATTAGTATATTTCTACCCACAGATTTTATCATCATCAATTCCAGACAATGATGCGTTAGGTAAACTTTTATTTAATTTTGGAATATGCAAATTAATTTTGTCGCAACGTCGACAGTATTCAAGATAATAACGTAATTAGATTAATTGTGAATAACCGTATTAGTTAATGCGAAACACATTTTACACGATCTAAAATATATATATTGGATTAATCAACTTTGACCAATCAATGTTTTCTAAAAATATTTGATTTAAATCTGGTACGTTGGTATGTATTCCTATTTCGTTACCCGTGGCCCCTGACCAGCCATTAAAATTGCTTGGCGAAGTGGCGGGTGTATATCGTCAATTTAGATTTTGACCAAGTAAAGAAGTAAAAATATATCAGGTTTCTGTCTTTAGAACTAATCAAGTAAAAAATAAAATGACTTACTTGAAACTCAAATGATATGTGTAAAATATTCTGAAAGTCGGTTTTCTCGTGAGGGTTGAAAAGTTGGAAAATTAACATAATATAATATATATAGCTATATTTGGATACTTAAAGATTTTAGAATTTGCGACACTTGGTTTCGCATTTCAACTACCGACATAATCAGTTCAAGTAAAAATTATGATATCGGCATGCATGTTGCCCCTTTTTTCAAGAAAGGCTAAAAAAAGCTAATTTCGTTTCGAAAATTATACTGCATGCATGCAACATAATCCGTACGCCGGATGAAGATGCTGATAATGATATTGCGAAACGGTATGCGATAAAATATAAAAACAATTCAAAAGTAAATATAAAGTAAATTTATGTGACTGCCTACCGTTTAGATGAAATAGTATGAAGCTAGTATAAATAAATGAAATCCAATCTCGCTGACGAAGAATGCACAAACTTTGCGTTGCCATAAATGTTGCAAACTGCACTTGCTTCTATTTATAGAATTCTGAAAGCAAACTAATCTTGCTGCTACAAGTAAATACAGATTTTTAGGAACGTTTTTTTAAATTCCGTCTATGGATCAGAATGCTCAATCAAAGGATGCATGACAGATGAAGCTAGAATTCTATACGTTGTATTTCACTGCAGAGGTTTGGCAAATCATATTACTGTATTACTTATATTTATTATACAATATTTTAAGTAGAATAATTATGCAACAATTTGTTATTATTCAGTATAAAAAAAAACTAAAATATACACATTAAAAGGTATTCGAACAGTTTCACTAATTTGGAATGACAGTAACTTCCCTTGTGTCGCCTCTTCATTTGTATATGTTGCCTCATTTGTATGTATGTATTGGAACCTGATGCATCGTACTGTTCAGTCCTTCCTTATGACATTCGCTTTTGACTGTGTGGAAGATTTTATGCGAGATTATGGACTAAGATTCATGGCAGCAAGATTTTCTTGACTGTTTGATCTGCTTACTGTTCTACTTGAAGACCGACTCGATCTTCCTGAATAGCTTCCATAGCTTATCCTTTTCTTTATTATTTTTTCAAGTGGATAAAGTCGTAAACCAGTGTCCCTGTCCACAATGCTTCTCCTCATCAGCTCTTTGTACGTTACATTTTCTTCTGTATTTGGGTCAAAGAAGGTTTTTGTATCATCTCCTTCGTCATCTTCAAGCTTTTGCTTCAGACGTTCATCCAAAATTTCACGCTTGATGGCGACATCTAATGGGACTCTAACGTTTATCTTGTGGTCAATTATACCTCCAGTTGCGCATTGAGCTTCTAACAATCTTAAACCATGAGATTCCACTACCAGTCCTTTTTGCATTGCTTCATATAAAGATAAAACGTGATCTGATGCGCGAAATTTATATCCGATTACAGCCCTCTCAGCTCTAAGTAACACGGTTTCATATACTTTATCCAACAAACCCAATTGTGTGGCTTCCTTCACAGACATTTTTCTTCCAGTAACCGGATCTATAATATTTCCCGTCGCCGCTTGAGCTTCCAAAAGACTTATTGCTGTTCCTCGTCTTAATATTCCATCTTTTGCTGACTTGAAGATAGACTTCTTTTCTCCAGTTTCGGCAACTAATATTCCTGCAATAGGTTCTTCTCCGCATAAATATTTCTTTAACATTTCTGGTATTTCTTCATCATCATATGTATCTTCTTCTTTTTGTTTCCGTTTTGCATTCATTATTTCAGATTTTATTTCATCAGCCATTTTCTTATTGATTATACCAATCTCTAACAATTGGGACAGTACAACTGGTCGTCTCCATTCTCCTTCTAACACCATGTCATCATACGGTTCCAGCTCTTCCTTCGAAAGTTTTTCATCAAAAAGTCCGGTTTCTTCTTGTGTTTGTAGTACTTTATTTGTGGGTAATTCGTTCCTGTTGGCATGGTTGATGGGCTCAGCTTCGGTAGGCACCACCGTTACCTCTGTTGTTTCTCTTTCGACAGATGTATTACTGACAGGGTGTTCTCCTTTGGGTTCTGCAATAATAGTACAAATTAGCATAAAATGTAATAATTGTTCATTAGAATGTTTCGAAACGGGAATATCGTTAATTTATAAAGTGTCGGGCAATACAAACACAAATTGAACTGATTGTTACCGATATGAGCGTGACGTATTGATGTTGTGTACTAATATAGCTAAAATATAAAAAACAGATGTTGTAATTTTACCTCCGTAAGCTTTGTTTTCTACACCTACGGCAGATGCTTCTTGTTCTTCGGATATTACTTCCTGTTTGATAATGTTTTCATTTATTTCCGTTGCTTCAATCACGTTTTCAACGTCAGTTTCGATCTAGAATATGTAAATGCATGTGAAAAATAAGGGATAAATAGTCCTATAGGTTGCGATGGAAACTTTTCATGCTCATTTTTGATGTGACATTTAAGGAATGAAGCAATGCTCATGTAATTGAATGACTGACAAGTTGATAACTCGGCCCAATTTATCTGAGGTTAATATGATTCATGAATGTTTTTCACATGTTGACGTAAACATGTATTTTTTGTAATTATCCCGTCCCTATACGCAGGCTTGAAAGTACAGCCTTAAAATTGTACAGTATTTGATATCAGCAGATTACAGCAATTAACCGAACAGCTGGTTGGTATAATGAAATGATGATTTTTTACAACGCCAGATTGTAACATTGTACAAGTTGGATAAAGTAAATTTAGGCAAGTAGCCCGGGGACTTGTTTCGGATATTTTTCATTCCTAAGGTTCTTGAAAAGCAGACTAATAGCTAAATTGGTGCTAGATAATTGAAGGTTTAAACTTGACTTAATTGGAAATGTTTCAACGGCTGTGGTGATTGGTATGACATTTAAAATGATGTCACTTGGATACCTATTTGGATGAAGACTCGAACGTTCACGCCCAATTCGTGAAATATTGTAGCGAAAATTTAGGTTTTTGTCGCTCTTCGAAGATTTGATAGTGTTCTTGAACGAGACTGCTGAAATGCTACCACTAAAATAGAGCACTTTATTCCAGAACCACATACTGAATTACATCGATATTTTATCATGTAAAATCACAACTTTGACAGAGCACTTATGAGTAGTTAATACAAAAGCTTTGAGTGATTTACAGCATTGATGCAATACAATGTTTGGTTTGTCAATTATTCTGAATACTTTTGCATTGGTAACATTGCAACATAAATATATAAAAGTCAAGTCAAGTTTATTTTTTCCTACCAGTAAAATCAACAAAAATCGAACACAAATTGCGAGAAAATAATAAAAAAAAATATAATAAAAATATATACTAATACGCTAATATGACAGGTAGTCGGATGTGTTTACATTTGAGCATTGTATTGGCTTTGTTAAATCGATAATTTTCCTTTAATTACATTTCATACCTTTTCTTCGGTACCATTTTTCATCTCTGTCTCCTGATTCGAACCCCCTGCTTCTTGATAGCTGGGATTTGCTATTCCATTCTCCTGTTTTTCTTCTAGTTGTGATTCGCCAATGTCTATTTTTATTTCTGGTATATTCACCCTTTCTTTCTTTTTTTCTTTTTCTATGACAAAAATTAAAATATAGTCTTAAAATTTTAATAATCAAAGTATTTCAAATAACGATCACCGAAAAAGTTATATTTATTCTGTCTAATCGATATAGGATACTTTGAAGAACATGAGTACAAGTAGGATTATACTATCCCATCCTCCCAAATTATCCATCTACCAAATAAATCAGAAATCCAACAGTTTTCTTTAGACAAGCAAAACTAAATAATATTATCATTTTTTGTCATAATTCATTTTCCATCAAGTTCATAATTAGGCTACTTGTAGTTCTATAGTCACTTTACATACTGTAAAAAAGTAGTGCCTCAAATATTGTCCAATTTGTATCTTTATATTTTTGGTTAATCTTAGGTAAAAATTGTGATATATATGTTTTGCAATTTGGTTGTACCTGTTACTTGTAAATTATCTACAGATAGATAATGTGAAATAACATTTCGAATATTGTTATATCTGATAAAATATTTACATTCTTCCTACATATGTTTAGACTATCTTTCGAAGAACACCAATTATTGTCTAGCCAGATGAAAAAAAATTCAATCTTAACACAGTGATTTTATCTTATCGTTTACGTTAATCACAAAATTAAATATACAAATATACTGTGTAAGTAGCATTGAAGTGACTGAACCTATCTCAACTATTTTTTTTTCACTTTCTACGTAATATTCCGGACACAATGAAAAATATTTGAGGCATAGTGATGTTTCATTTAGATGCAATATATGGAAAATTAAAAACTCTAGCCTGTCGTATAGTCTATTATTATATTGCAATATCGCATTGTCTAACTTTGATTTAATAGATTTACTCACTCAATTTCCTTTTGGCGATGAATCGTCTACATGACATGCATGATATCAATACAAAAGATGTTGTAAATAAAAATCCCAGAGATATCGCGATTGACAAAAAACTTTGCATTCTTCCAAAAGTTTATTGATAACTTCTCGTACACAACAATTTATTTTTTTCTAATATCCTGTATACTCCAAGTAAGATACGATAGGCTCCAGCGCGTTCCACTTCTCTTTCTATAGTACAAACGCCAGTGATTATGGTGATTTTAAATTATCAGTTTCTGAATACCAGATCACTTCAAGTCGCAATTACCTACAAATGAAAAATTAGATCAATTTTAGCGTGAACTTATTTTTGATAGGCTTGTGTTCGTGTTTCTGTTTGATATTCATGCATAATTATCGTCGGATATTTTCAAAGCCTTATAGTCAAAATATTTCTATGAACGTCAATATCGTTCAAGTATAAACCAATTATTGTGTTCTCTCCATCTACACTGTTTGTTTCTATAAATTATACTGAAATAAATCGTATGGTTAAAATAAAATTTCTTAAAAATCTGAATCGAGTGAAGGAAATCATAATATTCTCAGCGATCTTGATATATTGATAAAATACTGCATTCATTTCTGTATTATCACACAATATGTCATTCTTTATAACGCGTTCTGTTACAGTTTCGATTCCAATGTTGATCACCATACCTTCTCAAAAATGACCACTTAGATTTGCCAACACATCAAAATATGGTATTATTATTCGCCAGGATACGGTACTTAATTTCAATGATTTCTAAATTGATAGCTTCATTTAGCGTCATAGGCTATTTGAGTATACTTGCTAAGCATATAGGCAGCATATTGTAGCAAAATTGCTGGGTTTGTGCTAGTTTTACGTTAGTTTGACTTTACCGTACTTGTAAATAGAAAAGTATTCAACCATAAATTTTATCTTATTGGTAAAGTATATTCAGGGGTTATATTATTTACTTTTCAAACTTGTTGAACAATAATTAGTCCGATCTGAGTTAATTCTATATATTCAATAGCTGATCTACATTTTTGTTTGAAATAAATAACATAATTTATATAAATTGCCGTTTACAATAACAGTTTCTAATTCCTAAATATAATGAATTCCGACTAAACTGCCATTTTTAATAAGGCGGTTTTAAATATCACTCTCTGTAAACATCGGTCTGCAGTAAAAGATGTCTACTGCTCTGGACGTGGTGGTTAACTCTTTTTGGTATAATTTTTCATCCTATCATATTATTAATTGATGATTGAATATTTAAAATTTGTTTTAATAAATGTTTTCGATGCTTGCTACAACTTTGATATACTTATTCCCTAAATCATACTTTCTTCATTATTCTTTTATAATTTTTTTAAACTCTAAAACTCTGTTGAATGTTTTATATCACAATAGTTTTCAAACAAATTGATACTATTTTACGGGTTTTACGGCCTATACCTCACCAATATTCATACCTATCAACTAATCGCTGGACTCTAAATTTCACCCTTTCTATGAATCCGCCCGTTGTTTGGATTTCTTTCCAAAATCCCGTTGGTTGAGTCTGTAACCCCACCCTCTCTGGCAGTTTCTTTGCTGCTACAGGTGCCATCAAATGAGATGCGACACCGCATCAGAAATTCGAGATAGCAGCTCGGAATTTTCCTTATCTCGACCATTGCCTCAGGGTACTTTGGTCGGTTCACGGTTGTGTTTTGTAGTTTTCTTCGTTTGATCCGCAAGTACATTTACGAGTGCCTTTAAGTTAGAAATACTTTCACTTCATCAGTTCTGGATTATAGTGTATTTTGTTCAATGTTGTTAAAATGATTTACACGCATTTACAGCCGTTCTAATCATAAAATCGTGGTTGGAACATTTCCAGTCTATGTAGTCTATGTGCTTTAATCACCACATGTACTACACACACACTTCATAAACAACAGGTGATAGTTACTAAACTGACTCAGAATTTACATAGCCTACTGTTTGAATTTAGCACTAGTTTGGGCTTGTAATAAAAATCCCTTTTTTGCCTATCAATAAGTTGCTCGGTATTGTAGGTATTCAGCGTGGTAGTGAATTTTTGCTCTCATAAGTCATAATTTTAAGATTTTTATCGCGGAACCTCTTCTGTGCTTATCTAAATAAATAAACTTATACTACTAAATAAAGTTTTCACGATCTCTCAATCATCAGTTTATCGTTAAAATATGCATTGTATTTGTGGTCAGAAATATTTGATAAACGGCATTAAAGCCATGAAGCTGCTATCGTCGTCATATCATTGCGAAGGATGCGGTAGCAAAACAATGATTAATGGGAATCATGAATTCCATTTATCGAGTACGCTGGAAATGATAGTTTACATATTGCGAAATAAAGCTTTAATTCATTGATTTAAAGGTCGAAACATCTCTGTCTAATCCTTTTTCTATTTCCCACAGGTAGTTTGTTAGTTTCATCAATATATATATATATATATATAAACGTTATCTTTCCAATTGTTCAAGTCTATTCAAAGTTGATTCATAACATTTTACTAAGTAACCTTTCCCATCTCATAAAAATATATACATTCGATATTCAACAACACAGTTGACAAAACCATAAGTGCTAAAATAAGTTTGATATGTGTATTTGAAATTAGCCTGAAGGCAAAAACTTCAATATGACGAGTAAACTGGATCGACCTATCACTTTCCCAATTGAATCATATTTATTTAGCTATTTACTACTGACACATCATAAATGTGTCTCAGTTGCGAAAAATATATCCTAGCCAATTTCACTGAAAGCATCAAATGTTTTTCCATCTTAAATAACGGTCGTTTCAAATATATGATCCATTTTTAACAATTTTTTTTAACGATACCGGATCTGTGAATTGCTGTTATTTTTTTACGCTGCTTTTACGTGCTTTGGGAGTGTTTAGATTATTTTTAACTATACATGTAGATATAAAACCGAAACGGCTATGTTTCAAGGGCAATTAAACATTATAACGCATCTAAGAAAATTTATAAAAATGAATTCTGATTTGCACATTGTAACTAAAAACCAATTTTGTTATTTTTGAATACGGGTAATTTAATAATTTTAGGTTTTGATTTTTCTACCTACCTTTCCAGGAAAAGTAACTGTTATTATACTTTACCAGTTCTATAATCCTCTAAAAATGAATCGACATAAAATGTTATTGAAAATGAAACTGTGGTTTAATATCTTCGAATGTCGTATTCTCATGACATCAATTGGACCACAAACATAGAAATGTGAGATCTTAAGTGCAGCATTTTTCATTCTTTCACTCGAATACATATTTGTGGATTATGTAAAATATACCGAACTAGTATGATACAGTAATCATTATCGACAACAAGGTTATTTCAATATTTTCTTCGTTAAATTATTAGGCTTTTCAGTAATGGAATTTAAAATGCTTGCAAGCTATGGGACATATTTACATCCAAAGTTTTCCTTTTGATGCATCGTAGATATATTCATTTATGTATAGTGGTGTGGAGTAAATCAGTCACATCAACGCCTTATATTGTTTCTCATCGAATAATTTTCCCAGAATCATAAAATGCCCCTGTGCTCAAATGGGCATATTCGCAACAGCTAATCGCGGATTTCCACGATACATCAATGTCGTGTGTCAAAGCTCTGTATTCAATTTAATCTCCATTCATTACACTAATCGTAGCAATTGCCATTTGCGAATTTTCTTTGTCAGAGATTTTATGCCTGAAGGGGTTCACTTTACATGTTCTCGTAGCAACTGAAGAAGCGTCATATATAACCTTATTAAAAAAGTTTAAGCTGATTCAAATAAATAGGCACGGCAGTTAAAGGCCGATTTATCACTTCTAAATAACAAACTTTATGCTACTGATCGATTTCTGAGATTTTAAAGAATTTCTAAACTTCGCCAATAAGGGGATCCTGAAATATGAAACGAAATAATCACATAATTCTGAAGCCCAAATCTAGTGTTTCTGAGCGCCTGTTACCAGTTTTCATTTTTAATATGATGAAACCTGAATAAAAATCTATAGCTGATAAATATCGCTCTTTTTCTGTGTTTATGTTCAGAAATACAATACCAGATGTTACAATACATATTTCATTTATTTGGTAAAAAATGGAAAAAAGTTTTCAAAATATCAATAATAGATGCAATATATAATACTCAAATGACAATTTAACTGAGATAATTGCAACATAAAAGCATGCACAAACGTTTCTTGATTTACTTAATTAAAATTTGAAACGAAACCTTCTTGAAACTTTTAAGAACAATCATTCGATTTGGACAACTTATGTATTACTAATTAAAAAAAACGGTGTATTTTGTCATTTGATCGATTAGAAAAGGAGGCAATTTCCGATTTTAAAGCACATGATACGGATTCTCTTTTTAGTTTCTTCCTTTAAATAAAAAAATTCTCAATTCCATGACAAGCTAAGAATTCGTTTAGTTATTTATTGCAGACTGTGCATGCATTACAAAAAATGTAACAAAAATTAAAAAAAAAGTGTCGAAGAGCAATATAAGGAAGTAAGGAAGAAATTGACAAAGGCTTTGGATACGGAATCGTTAGCAGCTTGATGATGTTATTCTCATTGCTACATCTGCTCCCGATCTCCCGACTAGAAATCTCATACGATCTCCTGATAGACGGAGTTCTTCCATTGCACTATAAAATAAGAGTATATACTGTACATTGAAAAACGTAGGAAATCGCATTTTTGTCTTGGGCTATCACCTTGATAACAAACTCGAGTTATATAAGAACCAAATGTTTTTAAATATTCCTATAATAGAAAATAACAGTAAACAACATACAAGACACCAATTCTAAGAAAATGTTTTCTTCCAGCGTCAAATGACAATTTAAACGCCGTGTGATAATACCTTGTTGCACTTTTAACCCTTATAATCAGTTGTCACTTCTCAGAATGCAACAAAATGTGTATAATAGATAAACATATTTAAAGCTTTAGTAAACAAACGATCATTATGTATCTAATACCCTTTTCGGTTAATCGTTCCATGAGCAGTGAAGACGAGCTTTGTAACGATTTTTGTGATTATTTCACGCGATGTTTGTTTGCGAAATATTTTAAATTAGATTTAAGTGGAACCGCAAACCTAAATCACAGTCATAAGTGTAAATTTTATTGTGAAATTACGTGAAGGTGAATTCCCGTTTCATAATTTTTGATGATTAGAGAATAATAATACAAAAAGAAAAAAAAAATTGGTAATTCTAAGGGTATGTGCTTTACAACAAAATGAGCTACATAGAATGAAACTTGCACGGTTTTCAATTGGGCATGATTGCTCTACATACATTGGAAGTATGTTACATATTATTTCATTTGTTTGATAGTAATTGCTAACTAGTATTCAGTAAATTTAAACTTTAAAAAAATGTTCGTTGTTAGTTATGAATTAGGTTCAGCTAACGAAATAAGAAATTCACATAGTTTCCGAACGATCAATTATGAATGTTGTTGTCGTAAAATTCATGATTTGACACATATATCGTTATCGCTTTGTCATTCGGCACAATAAATATGCCCAAGGATATAATATATGTTACATTAATTACAAAAGAAAATGCTTCATTAGTTTTGGACAATAGAAAAATACATCAATTGGCCGGCCATATTTTTTTGTTTCCTTTTTAGCAAGAACAAAAATATTTGTAGTCTTCTCATTCCAATCAGGATGAATTACGGTTTTTATATTATTCATGGTTTGGTTTATATTTAAAATTTAAGGCTCCTATGAATCTATGTGCTTTTTGTTTGAAAGACTGAATCAGATATTTTATAACATGTTGGTACAATACAAATATAATAAAAATAAAATCAATTAATACGTTTCTCGTTTGATTTTTACGACACCTTTGATTACAAATCAAAAAATTATATTCCCATTTGTGACGTGTACTTTGCACACAATGATAAATTAAAAACAACTGAATTATAATAGATACTAGTAATTAACCGATATCAAATAAGTCACGGAATTTAATAACAATTTAACATCTGATGCTATACTCCTATTGCAAAGTTATACCAGTAAAATGTTGGAAATCATTTTTTTGTTTGAGAAAATGATCCAGAGCGTTGGTTTAACTAATTTATTACTAGTCTAGGGCTGGGCATTTTTGAATACTTTATGATTTCAGAATCTAATCGAATATTTTTTTGAATCCAATCTCGAATACTAGGAAGATATTTAATTGTATGTGTGTGTAATGGGTCATCCATACACAAAAGAGCGGAGTTTTTCAGCCCGCACTTCGGATTTTATTTTATAACGTACGGTGTACAATGGGTATTACATGATTCCATATTCAGGGTTCTAACAAACTCTATTTTGACCGGTTTTTATTTCAATGTAGCAAGTAGTTATTGTACTCTTGATTTAATAATATAGTTTGTATAAAAGTGCTTTGCATCCATGTTCATACCTCGTATAATTCATGCTTATTAAACTAGTTCCATTGATGGCTAGTATTCTGTCACCCAATAACAACCTCCCCTCTTGAAGCCAACATTTTATCACTTCTTGATGTTTCATACGCACGTGCTATAGAAAAAAAAAGACATAGATTATGTATATTTGTTTTCAGATGGGTAATGTTATTGCGTAAACTGATCTTGGTTAACTTGTTAAAGCTTAAAGACTAAATATTCATATTTTCCGTTATTGAAGCCAAATTGGAGTAACTTAAACTAGTAATGATATATTACTAGTGAAAAAAATATATCATAATTTTTTGGTTCGTGGTATCGTCCCACAAAATGAAGGATTCTAGGTTTTATATTGCAGTTTTGATATAGCCTTATATTGAGGTAATACAAATCTTCCCTTTTCATTACCTTCACTGATGGGCCATCAGGCACCAATGATCTAACAAAAACTCCTGGTACTTGTAAACTGGTGTACATTCCATCTACCAACCCCAGTCCTAGTCCATTTCTTCCTTTTACAACGTCGACTATAAATACTTCGCTCGGTAATGTATGCAGTTTGTTGTTTGTCATTTCTGGGAATGCTGAAGTGGGAAATTGTTGATGCTGGAGACGAGTTTCTGGTAAAATAATTTGAATATAAGCATGTAGACAACAGAAAGTTATTTGTTATAATTAATTTCGAAATGTTTTCTAGGTTATTTGTGACAGGTTATGACTAATATAAGTATCGTTAATTAAAAGTGTTTTATTGGTAAACCGTTCAACAAAACGAGATTATTATTCCTAAAAGAAAAAGGGAAGAAGAATGTTTTGACAATGGTAAAAATAAAAAGCAATATCTGACATTCAGGTTATGGTTGAAATGAATAGTGTGGAGTTACTGGAAAGCAAACACATGACTGTAGTTTCAGTGGAATGATTGGTACCTATTTCAGAACGCCGCGTTACTGTGGTTTTGATCGGTAATACACGCAAATCTGGCGATCCTCCAGGCGTATCTTTATGTGTAACATCGTTTACATCTACAAATGAAGATTCTTTCCCGTTAAAGGCGATAATTGATGCATTTGGGAACACATTACCTTCTTTTTGATGTGATGGCAGCAACGAATTGTAATCACAACTTTGATCATCTGTAAGTGCCGCTTTAGCCTGCTGCTGAGCTTTGCGCTTTGCTTTTCTGGACGGCCTGTCCAGTGTTGCATATTTCATTGGTGCGCTAGTGTGTTTGTCGTTGGTTTTTGACGTTCCTTTTTTAGAGTGGAAGCCATGAGACTTGTGGTTTCGTGGTGATGGAATTGGGGCTTGTACACCTCTTGGCGCAGGTACTGGACTTGAGATATCAGAGTTATAACTAGAAGGCGAAACCAAGTTCTGTTTCCCATCTCCTGTAAATGACGCGTGTGACGTTGAATCCGACAATATTGAACTCATGCTGGTTGAAGAAGGACTAGTTGATCTTACGCTCGTTTTAACATGCTCATGAATGTCTCCTTGGTTTAAGGATTTTGTTCTGTGGTAGTTTTTATTGTTATTGTTGGAATTGATTGTGGTTGTAGTTTTTCCGGTCGTGGAAGAAGTTGTTGAAGATGATAATGAAGAGTGAGAGAAGTGAGGATGATATCCGGGAGGAATTTCGTGGCCGTCGGGTTGCTGTCTTTCTCCTACTACAGTGTTGTTTTTTCCCGGATTGGGAATCCACGATTCTTGTAACCTGTAAGACATTTTATATGTGAAAGCGAATCATAGCTAATACTCTGATGAGTTTGCATTTTGGATTATCGCTAATTATTTCCGAAAGACTACATTTATATTGCGATTTTCCCCATTTTTTACCTCAATTTATAGTTGCCAAATGCCAATGTTACCTCCGACAACGAAAAAACATTTACTTACTGCACATTTCCAACATCGCACCCTTGTCCCACTGCCAGCAAGACTTCGCGTAGACTCATATACCATGGCTCAGCAGGGATTGCCTCTAAGTCAATTTGAGTTCCGTCTGTTGGTAGTACAAGTGGAGGGTGGTTGTCATAGCTTTCTTGTAGATAATCTGTAAGAAGATACACGTTTAAACAACAAACAGTGAAAGGAAATATCGCTGCCGGGTATAAGCTTTACCTCTGATTTTATCATGTATTAAACCTACCTTCTTCAGAAGATTCTTCGAGGTCTACCGCATCTGGAATCCAATCAGCAGGTCTTTTCTTTACTCTGGGTCCAAGTATATACCCGTCTAGTACTTGACGTAGTTGTACAGGGTGTAGTTGAGAAAAATCCCGACGGAAACAACTCCATGTGCTCTGATATAAAATGATAATTATTATTTTGTCTAACAGATGAAAGGCAAGTCAAAGATATTACAACAATATTTGAGGAAATATAACCCTGATGATTGAAGATTCAATCATGAAGAATCGTTATGCTTTGGTTCCATTCAACTTCTGACAATACATCGTTTCATTGATCCCACCTGTAACATTTGCGTTTTTGTTGTTGCTAACAAATTCGTTAACGTTGAAAATTTGAGAAGGAATTCCGAAGCTTGTTCTTGAAATCCTTTGTCGTTTGCCCAGCATTCAATTTCTTCTAAGTTACCTCTTATTTGAACTCCTTTGTCCCAGCGGTAATACTTAGAAGCTGCATCTGCAAAGATTCGTATTTAGATTATGATGTAAAATTTGATAAGACCGGTCAAATTGCATTGTCTTGTTGCAATTTGCTCATGATTTGTATATTATATCGTACTTTTAATCGTCGTGACAACGAGATATAACTAATGACCAATTCATCACATTCTTATTATTACATATCCAGCTAATTTTCGGGACGCAATTTTCACTTACCTTCTTCCATAAGTGTATTGAACAGTGATACGTTTGTGAAGAAAAACAGGTATGCAAAAAGTTGTGATTCGATAGCAGGATGTACTCCATATTTCCTTGTCAGACCTAAAGCAGCCTCGTATATTGCTATAACATGTCCAGTTCCTTTTACTGAATCAGTTTCATCACTAACTTCAGAAAATGGATTTGTATCCAACACGGTCGGAAGAGCTCCATAGAGAGTCTGAGGCAAAATTAAGTACATATGTTATGCGGTGCTGGATTACGTAAATTGTCATAGGATGTATGAACCAGGAACTCAATGTATGTTTGTTTATTTCTACTGCGCTTCGAATCATTTGTTCAAAACAAGTTCGGAATAAACTAACTCAATGTCCTGAAAGTCAATGAAGTTTTTAAAATCGATATTAGAGACCACTGCAATGAATATACTTAAATAGATTCAATATTACATTCTTTATATTTGTTGGGTGAGATCTTTAATGAACCAAACACATTTATTTACCTTGGTTAAGTAATAGACCAGTTGTTGAAACGCGTACATCACCACCTCTTCCAGCACAGCCAGAATATCGTCACTGACACGAAACCCGGAAGCCTCGTTCAGTAAATTTTGATCAACCTCGTTTCTGTGAAATGAAACAATAATTTTAAACTTATCACTCCCTTCCTATAGCTCACAAGGTTTTATTATATCCGTGAAATATTTTTCTTCTGTTTACATCAATGTTTGGAGCATTAGTTTACATTTTAAATATCCAAATGAACGATTAGTGGAAATTCTGTTTAAAAATTAAAATTCTTCATATGCTTACTTTGAGAGTGGTTGAAAATTCACACATTTCACTACTTTATGTAATCCACCAAGAATTTACACCTCCGTAGTAAGTAGTCTATACGTTTACGCGAAAATTCACACATTGTAACAAACAAATTGATATCATCGGCGACTGATTGCTTATAAACCACACAAACATTAATATCTCCATCAATAAATATGAAATTTTTGTCTATTTGTCCAAACCGGTCTTCGATTATCGAAATATAGTCAAAATAGCAAACCAAATGAATCATATAGTATTTCATATATATAGAAGTGCCAAAACTTTTCACGATGCTGAAAAACTATTTATGGAATATCGAAAATGCCCAAAAGTTGCCAAATTTTAGAAAATTTGAAATATAGTCAAAATAGCAAACTAGATGAATCATATACATTTCATATAAAACCGTTTGAAAACTTTTCACGGTGCTGAAAAGCTGTTCGGTTCACTCACAATTCAATTTCTTTTGCAACTCTCGTTTTGATTCTTTCAACGAAATCTGCTTGTAAGTAGCTGAATATTTCAAGTGAATTTGACATCCAAAATACAACGGCTTCCAGTTTTGGCAATATGTAGTTGATACCTTCCTCAGGATTCTTTATTCTGAAAACATTTGAACATTTGCTCAGAACGCTTTTCATATCAATGTATGGGTGTTTAACAAATTTTAGTTAACATTGATTATATCTTCATCGTATAACATTACCATTAATCTATATTTTCAATAATCGATTAAATGTTTTAATTCTTAATTATAAAAGCTCGTTTATGTATACCGTGTATGTAACTTTCAGCATGAGCAGCATGCACATAAAGGAAACAGTGAAATAAAGGATAATTTAGCCTTTGTTTACGTTATACATAGAACATTAGTGCGCATTGATGTCCTATATTGATGTGGGCTTCATGGAAATGAAATTATTAAATTCTTTATAATATACTCACTTTGCATCATCTTGAAGAGAGACACTCCCTGTGGCATCCTAAAAATATGAAGTGTAAGGTTTGAACACTTTTCAATCCTGTTTATTGTACACGAAATTTACATATGGATTGTTTTGGTATTATGTTGTTGGTCATTCTTTTTGTCTTCTTGTGAAAAAAATCGTTTTTCCAATTAACTATTGGGCCGATTGCTTTAAAATTTTCAGTGGTTGAAGATTGCATTTTTTACTAAAATGCTATTATTTTTACATTTATTTCTAACATTTTTGTGGGCTCTATTGGATTCGTTTTGGGTGTCGATGACGTCATCAAAATAAAAAAATGCGCACCGCGTCATTGTTTGTGCTCTGACCGGTAGTCAGACCACAGTAAAATATTTGTCGCTATTTCGTTTTGGCCTCCGTGTTCATATATTTGTGCATTGCTCTCTTGTTTGATTTGTATTATAAACTGTATTTAAACTTACCAAGAGTATTGTTTGCAGATTAGTGGCGACCACAAACAACAAACTTCGTTTTTGCTCAGTTGTGAAATTGAAGCACGCTTGTTCGATACAGTGGATCAAAAGCCTCGCTGGCGCCAACTCGCGATCGCATATTTCAGAATGTACTTTTGATGATGATATCGCGAGAATATCGTTTGCGGCTGTAAAAATTAAATCCAACACATGGTCCTCATATTCCGATCTGTAGTTAATTTCCATTTCAACATAACGTTTCTTTACGGGTGTGAATGCACTTCCTCTACTTGCAATACTGTTCAATCTATTTACACTGGGATTTAAACCCCCGAGCCTCATATTGGTATTCAAATCACTTTTTGATGTAGGGTCCTTGAGCATAAAAATATACTTTGACCCGACTGTTATTACATCTCCATTAGCAAGTTCTTTATCAGACGCTACACTTTGCCCGTTTACAGTTACGTCACAGTCATCTGCAACGAGATGTAACGTCACTTTCCATGGTGCCTTCGAAGGTATTTTCAAGTTCGTATTTTCATCGTCTTTAACACGGTATATGACGCAATGATGTTGTTTGATTTCCTCGTCCAACAGTTCAATGTTGACTTCATTTGTTGTTCCCGGAGTAGGTTCTCCTTCTGTTGTTGGTTCAACTCGATTTCTTCCGATTACAGTGACCTTTGTGTCCAAATAATGTACCAGACTTCCCCCGCGATCTTTTCCTGTATTGCTGAAAAATATGAATCGTATTATATTAAATAATATGTTGAAACGAGGTAATTCCAGAACGGATAAAGGAGATACTATTATTAGTTTGATTATTTATATACTGAACAAGTTTCTGTATCCATAATATTTCTAAGATTTCGACTGCCAAACAGCAATGGCAATACCCTACTAGATTTAATATCTCTGCAATAATAGTATGGTAAAGTACTTACAAGCGAAGAGTTACCCGTTCCTGATTGCCAGACTTTTCAAACAAAGTACAAAACTAAGGGATAAATTGTATGTGTTATGTGTGGTAGTGTTAGCGTATTTGTGTAAAACGTTTTCTCCCGTCTTCTTTTAGTCAAATAACCAACAGTTCATGATGTTTAAAATCATATTTTTACCTCGATACACCATCCTCGCCTTGTAATGTTATCAGAAATGGCACTGGCGTTCCGTCTGTTGCTTCACTATTAACAGTTTCATCATCTGCAAACTGCGCTGGTGTTGGTGGTGTTACATTTTCGATTGAATTTCTATTGTTTTTATCCGCTATTGTCTTAAATTGTTTTTGTCGTTCGCTGTCTTCTTCGTCGCTGGACGAACCATCATCATCATGTACGGGAACTTTAATACCCAAAGATGATTGAGTTCTGGAAAGCCTAAACAGTATCATTGAATTATTTAAAATTCGAAAATCGATAAAAAAAATGACAAAGTGATTTAATTAGACTGGATGATCCCACGGTATATGTAACATCTTGTTTGAGAGAGACAGAGACTGACAACCAAATAAGTAATTGGTAAATCTATATTTTCTATATTCAATTATTTAAATTCTGTTTCAATTATTTCAATTTTCAATCTTAATTCTCAACAAAGAAAAAATTTATTCATGAATTTCAATTCCAACTTAGATCATTTTCTATCAATATTATTTTGGAGTCTTAATCGTAGAGCAAGCAACTTGAAAATTCCGATAATGAACTCGATGTCGTTCAGAGATAATTTTTTTTATGTAAATAAATGTTGAATTGGTACTATGACCGTGTTTTAAAGGTGCAAGATTGCTACGATCAACGATCATAATAATTTGTCAATAACATAATGCAACTGACTTTTTTGGTATAACCGTGTTCTTGTAAAAATCGTGATGTAAAATTTACATACATATGGATTAAAATACGTTTTTAGTAAAAACAGCAGATTATCTCCTAATTAATATAATAATCTTTAGTGTGATATTTTGGAGAAAATCGTTAAGCCGTTACAATATTTAGGTCGGCCAAGTAAAACTCATTCAAAATGTGAGATGTGCACGTTTTGGCACGTTTCACTATGAATTGGATTTTAGTAAATATTTACGACACTTTCGTTGCTATGCGTTTACTCGACGAAAGTCGTAAGTCGATTATAGGTCAAAGTTTTTATTTAAAAATATGCGTACTCTACTACGCCAATATCTAACAGAAGTTTCACCATTTATATCGTTGTTTAAGTCTCTCAACCAATACGAACGATTTAATGGGAATCGATACCACATTCAATCCAGAAATTTGATAAAAAGGGCCAGCATGGTAGTATATATGGATCAAGTCAGATATCTTCAACTTACCTCGCGTTTTTCATTATGATACGTTTTGCTTGAGCGTTAACGTCACGTGTTTGTGTATCTTTTTCTGTTTTTATTAAATCAAGAACCTGTAAAATTATATCTGAATTAATTTTAAACTAATATAATAAAGCAATGCATACAGTGGAATGATGTCGTTTTTTCTATTTATACATGATAAGTTTGTGCTTCCCCTTCTATCATTTCACCCCTGACACAGACTGAAAGTGGCAAAAACTGCAAAGCTGGAATAGAAAAAAAAACAATTGTGGAAGATAGAGTGCTTCTGACAAATAGCTCTTGAAAAGATTCTAAAATTTCAAAATTACTCCGGAGTTGTACAACTTTTGCAAGACCATAATTTTGGCATTTTAGCCGAGTTATCGTAATAAATGGCACGCGAAATTTTGGTAGTTTGTATTCAAAACCCCGTACGCCGTTATCGTAAACCATAGGACATCTTACCTGTGTACGATCTCTTAGTTCAAATCTTCTTGCGTATCCTTCCAATGGTTTCCACAATGATTGAAGTACAAGCGGTTTTTCATGATCATTTAATGGACGGACATAATCCTCCACAAATTTTTCGTCCAGAATATCTTTTGTAATATTACTTTCTTGGTGTGTTACAACAACAGAATAGCCTGGCTTGCCTTCTTTTCCAGTTTCCTTCAACTTAACTGGTATTTTTTCCATTCGTAAACGTCCAACTACTTCACATAATACGAATTTTTTACTCATACTCCGAGGTACGCCGTAGCGTTCCAATGCAGCTTTCACCAATTCCCGAGCTTTAGATTGTCGCGTCGCTAGCACACTTTTGTAGTTAGCTCCTGGACTTACGGCATCACCGAAAATCTTTAGGATTCCCGGAAGGTGTACGTCAGACGATAAATCATCTTGCGTGGGACTAGGTTGTGGAGGTGATTTGACTGGACTTTGACGTTCAACACGATCTCTTGATGCCGATCTTCCTCGCCCGGTTTTTCGCAAACTGGAAAGTATCTTACGAGCAGATGCCGAAACCGTCGTTTCTCTTCCTTGCCTATTTTGTGAGGGCTGCGACTTTTTACCAGTCTTCCCTTGCACTTTTCCATTATGTTTGGGAATCGTAGTGACACTTAGTACGGGCCTTTTATCAATGTTCTTGGCATTACCGTTTTGTAAGTGATCTAATTTTCTTATATCTGAAGATGTCTTCTGGGGAATTTCTTTACCTTTGCCTGTCTGCGATTTGACCTGTGATAAGGAAGATCTTAAACGACTCGTTCGAGTTCTTTCATTAGTAATTGGAGATCCTTCCAAACTATCACATTTCCCAGTACTCTCGCTTGCACTGCTTTGACTTGTTCTTGTTCCACCAAAATCAGATGAAGACATGTTATCATCGTCTATGTTGAATCTAGATAAAAAGAACGATAGTTTGGATTTTGATACAAAATACTATGATAGTGATTTACAAACAGCCGAGTCGTTATTCGGCATTTCCCAAATCACTTTTGCATTTAATGGTCAAGTTAAGACAAGTTAAAAAATGAGAAAACAAGGGAGAGAGAATCGACTCACTTTTCCATAAGCTTTCTACGTTGCTGTGGTGTAAAACTTCCGCTTTGTATATTTCTCAAAACTTCTGCTGTTCTATCTGACCCAGATACGATATTGAATGTTACGGCAGAATTTGCATTCACTGCAAGATCCAAAGGGCGATCTTCAGGGTCAAGCAATATTTCATCTGTATAAAAGTATGACAGGATAAATAAATATACATAGTTGAAGGCTATTTGCTTTGAATTAGATACGTTTATGTTATGATTATATCAGTGTATCGGTCATTGAGATTTACGTACTATCTAATAGCGTACGTACTATTTAATAAGAACATTATTTAATAAGAACATTTGGATGAGACAGTTTTATCTTTTATCATATATAGTAAAAGATTTATATTCTTTAAACTTAATTTGTACAATTTGTGCTTTTATTCGTATTTTGTTATTCGGATTTCCACGCGTGTGTAATCAATCTTAGGTTCCAGATATATATTCCCAGAAACTCATGTAAAACTAAAATTAACAACAATCCAAGTACATTTCAATGTTACAGTATAGTTTCGCCATAGTCAATCTCATTTTCATCAACTGCGTGTGGTTTAGTCCTAGTGAAGTAAAATAGTCAACCATACAAGGCGTCATATTTGAACTCGTCGAAAATTGTATTTGTAAGGCATAATTACTTATCGATCTTAAGATCGGTAAGTATGTTGATTGTCTGTTTGTTTGTCTGTTAGATGGAAGCGATATCTCACGAAGGCGAGGTTGAATCCAAATTTTGCGTGTGCATTTATCATATCTCGGACCAGAAGCCTATTGATTTTGGATGAATTATGTCGCATAATTAGGGAGGTATTAATTAATTAGTGATGGTACACGCGGTGTCACTATAGAGTCAAGAATCGAAACCGCAGTTTCGATCGATAAGTCTTCGGTCTCCAACCGATATTCTCGTTATCTTATTAGTGCGATTTTAGCCGTAAACTGTAGTAGCTGTGAATAATTTTGTTTACAGTAAATTACAAATTAGATCTAAAATGTGTGCAACACCTCTGTTGCCTGTATACCATCAACATGATCAATGTCTTTCCGCATCGCCTTTGACCTAAGTGGTTTCGATGGATATGTTAATTAAATCTCCCCGATATGCGTTTGTAGAAAAAAATCGTGACATTTAAAAAAATTCAAACACTTAACAAATACTCTAATGTTTTACACATTTTCTAACACCTAATTATAATGTTCACTAAATTCCTTCATATAAATACAATCCTTTTTCTATTGTGCAACAAGCAATTTGTAATTGTCACTTTGGTGCCTGATAATACGCTCCTGCGTTTAGCTTTTAAATTACTATATTAGAGTGCATGCCCATTAGGGATAAGGAGTGAGGTAAAAGGTTCAAATACCCTAATCACACTTATTTTGTTGTGTGATCATATTGAAAAATTGCTAGAGTTTTAATTTTCTGTAATGAATGCTAGTAAATATATTGCTATTCAAATTACGGATTTGGTTTTTGTCTATTTACATCGCTTTTTAAACGTACAGTAAGTATCCCACACGTTATTACTTTGCTTTGCGGAACAACGCATCTCATTCATCTTTTCAGCATTTTCCTGGCAATGGTGTTTGAATTAATTTATAATATATCCAATCAAGATGACAAGCGTTTGTTTATATTAAAATAGAAACTAACTGACCGTGGAAGACCAGAATCTTAAAATATTTATTTTGTGTAAGAAACCATGCGTCAGTTTTGGGTGTCACGTTGATAAAACATACTGATAACATCTTTTTATCTGGTATTAATCTGCACCAAAGAATAGTGCAAAAATCCTTCAGCCATTCTTCATAGAATTAGGAAGTAACTATGCACAATATTACATTTTCTTTCCGTAACTACAGATTATATTTATTTTGTTGAAAACTCAATGTTCACTAAAATGAAATCACACAATTTTTGGTAGAAAAAATGTGTCAATACTGACAGTGTTGGAAAGATGATTATCGTACAAATGAGCCTCCTAAGTCCGCGATACAGTGACATGATCGACTGGTACAGGTTACTGCTGATCTAACAACGATTATAATGAGTCAATACCATATCTTGTAAATATCGTTTTACGCCACAGAATGTCTGCGATTATTGTCTTGCAATGTTGGTCATCAAATAGAGTAGGATACTATTGAAATACTGATATAATATCGACACATTACAAAAAAGAAGAGATGATAATAATAGGTTTTGTATTATCGTTGAAGCATTCCATTTCAAATATCTCACATAATGTCCAATTGCCTAATATTAAATCGAAATCTTGAAAGCTTTTTCAAATTTTATCAAAATTGACTAGATTTATTTAGTAATGCGTTATCACATCTGCCAGTCCTGTACGTGAGCGATTGTATAAAGCCTTCTTTATTCGATCCCTACTTGACTATAGTCGTGAATGAGTTCAAACTAATTACCAGTTTCAAATACCAAGTGTAAATTGGAAATGTGATAGATCTATTCTAATTATTATTATTATATGTAAAATCTCTTTCATCAATTACTGCTGGCAAAATTTAGTCGATAAAAAAATGTGTCGAGACAATTTAAAAATCTTGGAAGGTATTATATATTGTGCCCAATTATCTATTCTCAGTTCGTACAGAAATGATACTGATTTTATTATGATAGGTCTAATTCGACGACTTATGAAAAAGGGAAAATCATTACATATCGCCATTGAGATAAATTTGTGAAAGTGTTTCAAATTTAACCTCGTTCAAGTAATTACGAATACAAAAATAACAACATTTTTCGAAATAATGGTGTGTAATTTATTTTCGGTGCAATTATTATTATGTGGTATTGCCTACACCCTGCGGTGTTGTTTAGAATGCACGAAAATAATCTAATCCAACGATATTACACCAGATTATATAATATTTCCCGCATTTCGTCGTCGAAGTTTTATCCGCGGAATCGGATAAAGCAGTCACAAGTCGTGTAGCTTCAATCTGATAAAGGCAAACTAAATAACGTCCTGTTTTGAATTAGCGCTAACCCGAACTTCTTCTGAATTGTAAACTAAGACAATGACGATAAACTCACGAGTTTCCTGTTTGTTAAACTAAAACATGAAACGTCTTTAGCGGGATTTTATTTCTTGATTCTTGTTATTGAAATATTCAAGCTACAAAAGCAGCTTAGCAAGCATTTACCGAAGTTTAATGACCGCTATTAGAACTACCGTACTTCTCATTTATTCTGACGTCACAAATCTCAGGAGGATTCTATTTTTGACAATCATAATCATATATAATTTGTTTTCGAATCTATTGTAGTGTAATATTATAGGAGGAACATTTGTGAAATCTAATATGAACTGGTCTCTGATAGCAGCTGGGTAATCTCTTATATCCGACAATTAATATCGTTTTCATCTTGTCTCATAACATTTGAAATACAAGACATTATCAATTGCTATGATAATAATACTGCAAATGTCATAAAATAAACGTATTTCTACATCCTGGAACTGTACATCTATCCAAAGAGGATTATCAGTCGGTATCAAAACCTAATACGCTGTTCGGGTCTTCCTGATATTGGAAATTACAGCTGTTTACGATTGCACTATTTGTCCGAAGCCTGTTATATATATAATAGTTGTATTACAGAACAATTACTTTGATAATATCCCGTTTCGGACGGAACGTCCCTAGAAATTGTAACCTGATGCTACATTTAAATTGACCGCTTAGTACATAACGAGCTTTTCCACGTCTCACGAAAAATATCGGAGACACTTATCCCTCGTTTAGTTGTTTGGATAATTGTGACATGCGCGAAACTTTTTTGAATAGACGCAAACGATAATGTGTTCAATCACAAAAATGGTCATATGTGTCCGAAAAAGTATAAATCGATACGTTCTATTCAACAGAACCCGTGAAGTAATATCTTCATATTATTCCCACGGTATTTTTGTCACGAACATCCCAATAAAGCAGATCTCAATAGTTCACTATCATTATCGCGTTGTTGTGATATGCTCCCCTTCGAATCAGAATAAACGAAGTAAGCGCGAACGCGATATTACTATAAGACCATTTTTTTTTACTTAATATTCTTGATATAATGTATACAATGCATATATGAAGTTATTCTTATGTTATGGTTATTAATGCATCGCCCCATAGGTAATAATAATCTCTACAACGACATATTCGCCCATTGTATACTACTTAAATTCAGCGAAAAAGTAACGATAACTAGAAATGATGTATACACAATAACTTGGCACAAAATATGCTTTAGTCAAAATATTATTTCTAACTGGTTCATTGGCAGTACGAATCGCCATCAACAATGTATTAGAGTTTAATTTTCCCCTGATCCAGGCATGGTCTGGTGTTTTCTTCATCCCTCCAACAATAGGAATCCCTTCAATTATGAGATGAACAATGAATAAAATCAGAAAGGCCACCACTACTTTTAGTTGCCTCAATTACCTTTTTATATTATTTTAACTTTTGTGTGTAGCGTATCTGACACTATCAGTCATCTAACCAAATCTATCACAATGATAGTATGCTGCCTGCCATTCAACTCATCCTATGCTTGTTGCTAAACGGTTTAATTTTGACTATTGTGAGCTATGAATGGGGTTCATCAATAAATTCGACTACATTTGAATATCTCACACAACTTATTATACCGGAAAGATAATTCAGTACAAAGCAGCTCGATACTATAATAATCCCAAAAGCCGCGTACAACATTTTGCTTTAGACCTTATCATAAAACAATAAATACGAAGCTCATTAACTGATTTTTCTGGTATAATTATAACATATCAGCGATTTAAAAGCAATTAGGTACGTAAGTCGCGGGTCGTTGGAAAGTTTCCAATTATTAACATGCAAATTCTTATTTAAAAAAAATATTACCGATGTAATAGGAGATTAGACTTCGCAATGTTGTATGCAATAGTTTTTACGAGGTGGAAAAAAATCAAGTTTACTATAACTATTATATTCAATACGGAATATGCACCAAACGATTCACACAACTACCAAAATGCAAAATTACCGTCCGCGACAAAACTTCTGTACACATCAATACTTCTGTTTATTTAATCTATTTCATTGGAAATAGATACAAACGTTATTCTATTATCAAATATAT